AACTGGGTAGCATAACAAAAAGCAATGGGGAAAATAAGTTCTGCTTTATAAGTACCATACATGCCCATTAATTTTCTGATGAGTTTCAATTTATGTCGGTCACTGAACAAGTTAGTGATAGGTGGTTTTAATGATGGAGTCGAATCGTTGCAAAGGGGGTGAGGTGTGACGAGCTTTTAGTAAGCTAATTTGAATTGGTTAGAATTATTATATGGAAGATACAATTTTATTTTAAGGGAAAAGAATAGCTTTATTTCAAAACAGGTTAGGAACCTTCGTTAATATGGGCTCTAATTGATGTTGTCAACTTGAAATTTATAAGAGTTTCCAAACATTTCGCTGGATAAGATGTCAGAGAGAAATATGGATGTAAGCTCACCTTTCTAAAAAGTAACTGATAAGTAATTCAACATTCTTTAAGAGAAGTAGCAAACGTGATTTTTCAAAAGTGAGAGATATACGTATATGTATAACGAAATTATAATATATTAATACACTTCGAAGTTTCTCATCATAAGTAGTCCTAGGCTTAATTAGGGGAAAACCATCATTTTGCTGGGCCTAGAATTATTGCTTATATGACCCTAATATAGAAACATTTTGGTATATTTATATTATAAAGATGTTTATGAACATAGCAATCCTTGCGAATTGCCTGTTATAGGTGAGTAATAAGATTATACTCGATGGCCGACTACTGTAGCCCTGATAATGTATGCCGGGTACCAAGGCCTACCAGCTAAATGGTTATAATTGCCAGTCATATAACATGAGGTAAGACTATGATTAAGCTAATAATGTAACTGACTATAGTCTATTTCATCCTAGGGTGCTGTCTACATGAAGAATGTACAAGGTATAAGTAGTAGGTGCAAAATAGATACATGGCTGTTGCAATTTAAAGCTTTTGAGGCCCTACGCCATTAAGGCTATTATGATGGCAAATAATAAAAATTGCAGGTATGAAGCCTAAAACGGAGGCTCAACTAGAACTTTAATTTCTTTTTAGTATTTGAATAGGGTTTCGAGACTACCAGATGTATTCACACTATCTCGTTTAAGGTGGAAAATTCTACTACCAGTCCTTCATCACCTTAAATGAAATAGGGTGAATACATCTCATAGAACTTTTACTGTAAGGCTAGCAAGAAGAGATTCTACACCACCATTGGTAGTAATTTTTAATTCTTAGTACCAACTCAATTATATGATAAACTAGCTTAACTTTACTATATCAGTTGAAATATTCAAATAAAGTATGGTTTTAGTTAGCCACTTGAAAAAAATAAGCTTACAATAAGGCTAGTTAATAGGTAGTTCTATGAAAACATGCATAATACTCCCAAAATATGTGAATCATTTATTTATACTTCTTAATTGCAATTTCCAGGTGATACTGGTTCTAAAGGTTTTCCCGGTGAGCGAGGTTTACAGGGTCGACGTGGAGAACCCGGGCCTACCGGTGAAGTAGGCCCACCAGGTCCCGATGGTGAGAGTGGACCAACTGGACCATCTGGTGATCAGGGCGCTAAAGGCGAACGTGGTCTAAAAGGCGACATTGGTCCAATTGGCGAAACGGGAGAACGTGGTATCGAGGGTCCACCTGGAAGGTGTCTCCCAGCTCCGTTTAGCCGAAAGGGTGAACAGGGTGATCAAGGCCCCCCGGGGTTAGATGGCGAGAAAGGTCTGACAGGTAAAAAAGACTCCTATGGGCTGAAAATGGATTTATATTTACATAACATATTTGATCTTTTTCACTATGGCTTGGTTTCTTGTCGCAGTCCGGGGATAGCTTAAAATTAGCAAAATTTCACTAATCGGATAGAGGTAAGTCGTGTTCTGACAAGAAAGAACATCATAGTTATGTATTCATGTGACCTTCATATTGTTCAGATTTCATCCTTAAACTTGACAGTGCTGCTGAAAACGAATTTGAATTGCTTCACTTGCGATTGGATTTATCTTCATTTGCATACAAAATATATCCGTATTAATAACTCTTTGTTTACTCAAATCAGCTCATTACTTCTTTTTTCCTTCCTTCTTAAATAAAGGTTTGACTGGCAAGGTGGGAAAGCAGGGTCAACCCGGTGCCCCTGGCCGTGGGATACCTGGACGAAAGGGTCAAATTGGTCGTAAAGGACTGAAGGGAGAACAAGGTTAGTCTGCAGTGCATGTAGGTTTATATTGCACATTTGTCATCATTCAGTTACGTTGATTTCTTCATTGTATTTAGGTTCGTAAACTGAATAAATGTCCCTTAATTGCAATTAGGACTCTTTGCTGATAATTTTCTCAATAATATGCAATTTAGAGCACCGTCAAACTGCAGGTTTTCCATACGCTTTAAGTCTAATGGAAAACCACAAAAAGGCCATTTAAAAATTGAATAGATAAATATATTGAGCTGCAAATAATTTAGGATTAGAAGGTATGATAATGCTGGCTAGACACCTAATCATCTAGTGTTTTTATCACATGTTTTTGTTCTACAGGGACTCCTGGCATCAAGGGCGACATAGGAATGCCTGGTGATACTGGCTTACCAGGCATCAAGGGTGAGCGCGGAGACCCAGGAGACCCGGGAGAGAAAGGTGATATCGGATATCCAGGACAGCCCGGCCGTGACGGCTTAAAAGGTCATATAGGCCAACCAGGTCTGACTGGGACTCCAGGCGAAAAGGGGCGAGAAGGTCAACCTGGACAGCCTGGCTCGATTGGTCCAAAGGGTCCTAGAGGAAATATAGGCGACAAAGGGCTTCGCGGCCCTGAGGGTCCGATTGGTCCTCTTGGTGATCCGGGTCCCCAGGGTGAAGATGGCATTGGTGAACCTGGACTCAAAGGTGACCAAGGTCCCCAAGGCGAAAAAGGCCTCAAGGGCGAGTTTGGCGAGACTGGAATAATTGGTCAGAAGGGCTACAAGGGGGACCCAGGGCTTTCAGGCCAGACAGGAGACGAACCTGGACAGCCTGGAGAGAAAGGTGACCAGGGTCCACCTGGAATCAAGGGCGAATTCGGTAAACAAGGCGAAAAGGGAGATATCGGTCCCATTGGTTCTCCAGGACTTGAGGGAGTGCCTGGTCAGGCAGTGATGAGCAGCTACCTATTTTCTGTACACCATCAGAATCCAGAAGCGATGCTAACATGTCCGGACCACTCGATTAAGGTTGGTGAGGGCTTCAGCTTTGTCATGGCAAATGGAAACGGCCGACTAGTCACCATGGATTTAGGTAGATTTCCGTTTAAGTTTATTTATATAATTTTAATTCTGCTCATTTTCTGTGTGTCTTGAATGGTTGATATTTTATTAATTAGCTGTTTTCTCCTGGATAGTTCTTATTCTTTTTACTCATAACCTTTATGTCGAAACGAAGACCAAGATGTTGTGGCAGTCAGCCTGGTTAGATTCTGTTTTCTCTGTGTAATGCTGGTCTCCCTTTTCACAACTTGGTCTTGTTTACAAGAGCCTTCGTAATACCTACCTCATATGTCTCTTAAATTATTTACATGAATTCTCCTGGAATAAGACTCTTTGGTACATAGATTTTCCGACATTTTCCCGAATTCATATTCACTATTGTTAGAACAAAGCGACATACCGTCGTATCGCTGCCCCCTTGACTATTTGAAGAATAAAAATGCGCGTTGATTTGAAAACAAGGATCTTAAGAATTACACTATTAAAACTAAATAACTAGACTGGACCACATATTTCGTAATCACAATTTTAGTTGACCTAATCTTCTAATTTATCTGTCATTTTGGCACGTCATCAAACTATATCAGTGCTTCTTTGAATGCTGTCACTAGCCATATGCAATTTTCTGAGTGATATGATGTTGGGTGAAGAAATTTTTAAAGATTCAGGATAGAGAAGAGGAAATTGGAAGACATCAGAATTAGCGATAACTTGGCCTATTGTTTAG